TAATTTTTTGTGGACTAAAATTTGGTCGATTCTCAATTCTCTTAATATTTTTTTCAAACATTTAATTTGCACTCAACACTCTATAGAACTTGATGACACACCCATGTATACCCACAATTCCTCTGCGATTTATTTACATTTTGTAATATATTAAATGTTTATCATATGTGGTTGTACTCGAACACCAATAAATTCGTGCCTGAGATATTTAACAATTTATTTTATAGTCTGACCTTTATACGTTTATAAGGGTCACATTACGTGTTGCGTTATACGACTGTCTTAATACGTTATAAATTATAACAAATAAACTCGCTTTGGTGTTATTTAGCCGAAAAAATCTTGCACACGAAAAACGTATAGTTAATATAACTTTCCAATGATAATTGTTTCCTAACCTTTTTTCAATACTTACTAAAATTAATAAACGCGTTCCCGCGTAGTACGAAAAGAAGATCCGCAATTAATCTTCGTTTATAATTATTTTATCTTTCGATTGCGGTATTTTGGCGGTAAAAAAATGTGATGCGACAGCCGGAAAACCATACTAAAACTAGAACGTGGCCCATAGGACGAAACGCACGTGGCGCACATCAATAATAATGTCGTTGTACCTTTGTCGTATTATATTATATGTGATAACATGTGCACGCTGTATTATATTCTCAACTGGACCGGCGACTTTCTAGAGCATTGTTTCTCAAATGGTTCGCGCCGTGAACACTTGAACCTTTTTTAAATTTTAAAAGTACTCATTTTCGCGGCAAACTGCTGCAGACAATGTTCGTCCAGTGGTAATTTGTTGAAAACTGATGAAGCCATGGAAAAAAAAACATTGGGAAACCGTTGTTTCAGAGTTTTGAATCTCTGGCCGAACGCCTTCGTCACTGAATTAATACACGTACGGCCGTTTGTAACCGTCGCGATACAATAAATACCGTACGACAACGTAAACGACAGCACATTCATATAAAGCACGAAATTAATCGAGCACCGTACCACCGTAGTTATTGTTGTTGTAATAGTAATGTTATTACTATTATGTTATCATGGCTGGCCAAATCGGTTAGGTAGTGGTTTTGGCTCTTGTGGTACACCATCGTGCGTGCATAAATTACGAGAGACGTTTAAAGAAAACAAATCATTTCGAACACGTCTGACAATTATAAATTCATTCGAATCGCGTATGAGCATAAATTATGACGTACATGTTTTCTACTTCAAATCTAATTAGTGCAAACTAGAATAGATCTGCGACTTCAGCACCCGTCGGTCGGTCGTCAGGACAGGTCTTCATCTTCTATGTTGTATGTTATAACGGAACGGCCAAAAATAAAACACGACCGCTATTGCGTCGATCGCTGTGATTTTTCTCGTTAGTGATTCTTGTAGCCGAAAAACAGAAGATTTTACATACATCTTAAGACGAACAGATTATCGATTTTACGGCAACATTAATTACACGCATTCCGGTCGCTGAAAATTCGGTTTGACAGTATATATTATTTAAACCATTTCATTGGTACTCGAGAAAAACTACTCGAATCCAAACTGCAATAATAAGAAAAAAAGTCGTTAACGGTAGTTAAGCGGGTTTTTATTTTATACTCGCTTCGTTGATGGTACTATCGATTTAAAAATTTAAGCCTCAAATACGAGTACACTACGACTATAATAATATACTATTTTGATGATAATTATTAGAACCCAAATTTATATGCATTTAAAATGTGTCGAATATGATGCAAATATGCAAAGAAAAAGTGGCTAAATATGCAATTATATGCATAATGTTACACTTTATAAAATGTTTTTTCTTTTTATATAAACCTCACTTTTATACCAAATAAAATTCTAAATATTTTATCAAAAAAAAAGAAAAATGATAATATCCAATGCTTTATATTTCAAATCATTTAAATCAATCTATAACTTTTAGGAAATTTAATAACAAAAATACAAATAAAAATAAAAAACCTAAAAATAAATGTCTTAGATTTTATAAATATTTTAGATCATTTGAAGTTACCTACTCTCAAAAAACTAATAGAAAACTTAAAAAAAATACAAATCTTGGTAATAATATTTTTGAAACTATGATACCTATCATGTCTATTCGTGCTCTATTTGAAGCGATTATAAAATTTACTGTATATTAAAATAGTTAATTTATTAAAAATCCATTAAACATGCATGTTATATGCACTTATTAACAAATATGCAATAACCCTCAAAATATGTAAAATATGCAATATAAAATTTGGTGTTTAAATTCGGTGTGATATGAATCGTGGACATTTTAAACCTCCATAGACGTGCACACACTTAGTAAAAACATGCAAATGCATATAAATCCGGGCTCTAATAATTATTAATTGAAAACAATATCCACTGTACATATATTTAAAGGTACGATTCTAAATATTATAATTATTTATCCTGCGTTATCCGAAATCAGATTGTATTATTATACTATTATTTTATTTTTTTATAGGCTTATTTACAGTAAGTATTTTGGCGTATTCAATGAAATTTCAGTCGCTACCAACACGAATAAAAAACATTGAAATTTAAAATTCTTATGCTCCACATACTATATGTATATTTGTACGTCCTTACTTGTACCAGAGACAGGAACTGAACCGAAAAGAATCGGTTTTGGAACCGGAACCAATTAAATAATAGGAACCGATACCGGAACCAAAAACTTTATTTTGATAAATGAAGTATCCAAACAGAATCGGAATTTTTAAATTATAAAGGTTCTTTTAGGTTCCAAAATTAAATAGTTTTATTTAGCATAAATTATTTGTAGTTACTACTTTGTTTATAAATAATCAGGGATCCATTTTTATTATGTTTATTCCTAGAACTATACAAAGTTCTTATTCTTATTCTTTACCTATTTAAAATTATATTTTTGAAGTGTTTATTACGTGTATATATATCACAAAATAATATTATATAGAAATGTTTTTCCCAGTATATATCATAATTGGAATCAATATTATCTTCCAAATGAAGCGATGGTATTAATAAAATAGACACCGGCTAGTGTAAATTGTAGTTCATAATTTATTGACGAGTATTGTAAATATTTTTTAACTACTGCTTCTATGAAACGAAGGCTATTATTTATAATTTAATTATTTTTAACCTATTTATCGTATGCAATTTTTAATTTAAAACTTTATTATCTTCTAAATTCTGATACATAACGATTTATTTTTACCAGTTATAACAGATTTAATAACAGTATTACTGTTTTGTGTATTTTATAGGGGGTAACGTTGATTGTCAGCAATACATATTAAAATAATTTTTCGTTTACTACTATACTACACTAACAAATGGGCAATGGTATTGGTATTTTTTTTAACATTTTCATACTATTTATTTCAATTTTTTTTTCAAAACTACTATTTTCCTTTGGTATATATAATATATTATTGACGAAGCTTTGATGATAAAATATAATATCAATGTTCGAGAAAAATGTTTTTACATAAGTTATGTGAAATATAAAAATGCATCATACGAGTCATACTAGGGCGTAAAAGAAAATATTTCGTGAAAAATCTGACCCAGTTCCCGTGAAACCTCCCGCTGATTAGTACAACACGTATAATCAACCAGGAACGTAATTTAGGGGTGAAACAAAATATAGAATATAACCCACTCACCGTAGATTTGAAAAAAATTCAACAACATCAGTTCCCAACATCAGTGTTGGGAATAGATAACTAAATTTCTATCTAGATAAAGATAAAGATAAAGAATAAATATTTTATCTAGATAAAGATAGAGATAAATAAATTTAATTCTTATCTAGATAAAGATAATTAAACAACCATTTTATCTAGATAAAATTAAGATAAATTGTATAATATGAAAATTTATATTTTTCGCAATAGATGTTTAACTGTTCTATTTTCATAACCAACACAGCCACAGAATTCAATGTCCTTTTAATAGAGCAGAGAGATCTGGATGAATAATAAATATAAAATAGGTATTAATATTAATTGTTGTATAAAAGCGTAGAATAATAAATTACAGATAGTAACTTACTACTATCTACTACAAATCAAGTCTTGTTTTTAAGGTAGAAACAATAATAAAACTTTTATTTAAAAGAACATTATTATGTTATAATTAATACACTTTTAAATATAATTGCATATGAAAAAATCTTTTAATTTTAAGCAACACAATTATATACAAATAGGTACCTGATACATATTAAAAACATTTTTAACATAGCTTACTTCTACTAAAATTTATTTACTAATTTAACATAATTTAATAAGTTTTCTCTACTTATTTGAAGAAAAAAAAATCATTCAGTAGACTTGCAACATAAAAGCATTTCAAACACATCATCACTAAGACGATTACGTCTGGGAGTTAACACCTGTATAGCTTTGCTAAACAATCTTTCAACCGGAGCTGACGACGACAAGGTGGTGTTATACTTAAAAAATATTTGCTTGACAATTGGAACATCATTAAGTGACATTACTTCTTTTTTCTTTGAGTTAAGATATGTCAATGCTTAAACACCAGCTGTATTGGAAACACTTGTATCTATTTCAGCTGAATCACCATCTTCGGATGGATGAAAAGATGTAGTTAAATTTCCAGATAAATTGCTGTAGAATGCATCACTAGAATCACTGCATTATCAGATGCAGATTCAAATACAGAATTTCCATCTTTAAATGTATTACATTCATTCAAAAATAATTCTTTACATAAACTTATATATCTTACTGGAATCCAGGACATTTTAAACTTCGGATGACTTATTGAGGCAAAAATAAAATCTTTGATTTTTGCATTACTTAAATCATAAATGTAGTTAAATCTTTTTTCTAGAGACCTTATTAATGCTGAAGCTAATGGTTTGCAATATTTTACATTACTTGATTGAATAAACAATTTTCTCAAAACTATTAATGTAGGAGCAATATAGCCTAAATAACTATTTTTCTCTCCTTGTAACTTGTCCAATTATTTTGATAATGGTTTCAACAAAAGACAGTATTCTTCCAAAAATAACCATTCATTAGGTTTGAGTTTATTTAACTTTAATACATCAAATAAAATATCCAATTTCTTTTTGTGTATTAACACTTTTTGAGTAGCATCATATTTAGAGTTCCATCTAGTAATAACTGAAATTGGAAACTTACAGTTACAATGTTCATAGACTTTATCAGAAGCTACTGAACTTCTACTAACTAGATTCCAAAAAGCTTGTAGCTTGTTAAAAGTAGTTTTAGATAAACGATTATAATTGTCATCAGATATTTTAGATATATCTGTGGCAGAAATCAAATTTAGAGAATGTGCTACACAAGTCATGGGTTTTGATAGACAAAAATTATTATAGTTTTTATGTTCATTAGTATTGTAATAGTTGGTTAACACTGAACCAACATTAATTCTTTCAATATTAGGACAGTTGTTTTCATTATCACTATCAGAGTCGTGATTATAATCGATTGCACACTCGGTATCTGAATCATTAATAGTAAAATTTCCAACATCATATTCGTTTGAATGTTCTAATACATTATTTGAAAAAGTACGAAAACATTTTCCAAAGTTGGTAGCATTATCTGTTATAATATATGTGATTTTGGAATTATTTAAATTGTATGTTTCCATTATTTTTGTAATAACTTTAGCAATATTTAAGAAATCATGTGTACCTTTCATTCTTCTGCATCCAAAAACATAGGAATGACGATTTGTGTAAGATTCATTATCAATAAAATAACATATCATACCCATAAAGCTTTTATTGTTGGCAGTCCAGATGTCGGCAGTGATACAAATGTATGAGTGTTTTTTTACTAATTCTGAAAGTGTAGTTTTGTATGTTGTATATCTTTCTTTCAAATCACTAGTTAATTGTTTTCTATTTGGTAATAAAGCAGTATCAGTAATTTCAGACAATTCCATGATTAACTTTTGAAAAGAAGGTTTTTCGCATGTAACCAGAGGTTTCATTTCATCAATGATATAATCAAACACTACTTTATTTATCTGAAACAAATATTAATGACTTAAATAACATAGCATAAATGATTTAAAGGCATAGGTATTAGAATATTTATGTTTCATACTACATTATGATTATCTACCTAAAAATCCATTTATTTATATCCAAATCAAAAGATTTATTTTGTAAATTTTTAAATACCTATTTTTATCAATTTAACAATTTTTTAACAATTTAAACACTTCAATACCACAGTTGTAAAAAATATTTTTTAAAAGTATTTGAGTAAGTAAGTAAAATATTATTGAAAATAGTTTTAAAAGTATACAAGCTATTTACTATACTTCTCAAATACTTAAATTATTTTATTTTTATTCTTTATATTAATTGTAAATATGTATCCATTTGACACATTTTAGATTTTGAGTGGAGCAATGGATATATAGGTTTTACAAAGATATGTTTTTTTTCGGTCTGTAAACACAAAAATAATATTTAAAATGTTGACTTCTACAATTTATTTTAAAAAAAAATTCAAAATTAAACAATTTAGTTTTATACTTTGGACAAGTTATTTTATTAAATTTCTAATATTTCTCAAAATAATCAGGAAGAACAAAATTTTTTTTTGCAAAAACAGGGAACAAAATACCTTAGGCTGCCAGACTGTCTCTACTCAGAATCATTTTTCTTAACCAATGATATATTATCATCTTTTGAGTTCAAATTTAACAAATCCATCACAGTAATCTACTCAATGAATAATGATGATGTACACTTGGCATCTACCATACAGAAGAGCAAGTTCCTAGTGTTTTTTTTTTTTTAATTAATTATTTTTGATATGCCTATGTTATTATGTCTATTAACTATTATGTTCATATTTACATTATAAAAACAATATTAATTGAATATTAATTTATGAATAAACCATAATATTAGTTATAACTATTATAAATTATAATTATTATAAATTTAAGTATTTAAAATACATTAATATTCAATACCAATTAATAATTGAGTACAATTCACAGTATTGAAATAGTTTAATTCTGTTTCTTACAAGTTTGTTGTTTCAAATACAATTTTTATGTCTCTTAAATATGATTTGATGAGTTAAATAACTTTTAAATCCTCGAATTAAATTAAAAATGAATAATTTATAGATACCTGTTGTTTTGTAAGTTTTTTGGTTGGTCGACTAAGTACATTTGTTTTATTTGATAGTTTTGCATTGCTTAGAGCCTCTTGTACTTGGTGTAATAATACCTGATGTTTATACTATAAATAAATATAATGTATACATTAATATAGGTGAACCACAGCATTTAAATAATTATTTTTATTTAAAATTATTAAAGTTTTCTATATTATATTTATGTGTATCAATCAAGGTATTAATAATTACTTTTAAGTGGCTTAGGAAATTTCCGGTTGACATTTTTTGACCATGAATTACTTTTGAGCAGTTTTTATATTGTGCTACTAACTTAATTCCGTCACAATGTACAGTAGAAAAGAATTACCCATTAAATAAATACGATTTTTGTAAAGTTTCTACTGTTTCTTGTGACGTATGCTCTGATGTTTCCGTCGTTTCCGAGGATGCTTCCATATTTTGATGGGAAACCACGTCATCTGCAGTATCATCATCTACCTCCTGAATTGTCCGTTTACTTGAATTTGCCTTCTTTATAATATATTTTGTGAATAAATGTTAAACTAATTCAAAAAGCAATCACAGACTCTACCTAGTTTACAGCAGTCATTAGGTACTCATTACTAAGCGCAACAATAAACAAATAATAATAACAAATAACCAAAAATAATTATAAATCTAGACATTTCATAATAATAGAAATTAAAATGTATAATATTGTAAGGAGTACTACCAACTTAAAGTACCTTCAAACTTCCAGCTGCCACAACATTGGTAAACGTTAGAAATTTGGTCTTGTTTCTGTGTTTGTAGTATGAACAAAAATATATAAAATAATTTAACATAATAGTATTTTATCTCAACCATTCGTTCATTAGAATTACACGATGGATAGGGGAAAGAGTGCTGTCGCCTGTCACCAATCAATACAACCGTAACGTATGTTACTGTGTTAATGTATGTGAAATTGGTACCTATTTATGATATTTATTAATAGTACTCAAATAATAATACTGAAATAAACACAAATAAACGATAAACCCATCATTATTGTTAAATTAGCCGATAGTAATATTTTTATACCACTAGCAATATATTAATATTAAATAATAACGAATAAAAATTTTAAAAATTAAATTGTAATTAAAACCAAAAAGTATGTCCTCGAATAATTTATCTAAATATCTAGATACGTAAATTGTTTATCTAAGATAATTTTTTAAGATAGTTGTCAACAGTTTATTTATATTTATCTAAATAAGATAAAGATAATTTACAAATTTATCTAGATAAATTATCTAGATAATCCCAACATTGACTATTACGTCAGATGAAATCGGTGTGTTCTTATTTTGTATTCAGAAATCAGATTATAATATGTTGTAGATACATTTACGATTTATTAAAACACTGGCTCCTCGATTGACGACAATCGTTATTACGCGAAACACTGCTTTTATAATTTTTTTTTAATACTCGTACCATTAAGTTGACAATTTTTTTTAGTCGCCCCGCCCTTTCAAACGACGCCCCTGCGGTCAACGCACGCAACCGCGTTCTACCATCGAACGTTTACGCGCGTCGCGGGTGCAGCATCACGTCTCGGACATCCGCTCCCGAAACGCCCATCGTCGTGTGTCGGATGTGGACGTTGTTATTTGCGCTCACGATTTAATTAGAATCTCGTCCGGACCGAGAGGCGCATGTTATGTGCTAGGTACCTAATCACGCAGTCAGTGAACGTATATGATGTACGAGCGTGCGATGTGTAGGATGTAAAGGGAATCTTGTTTTTTCTTCTTTTTTTTTCACTTTTTTCCCATCGTCAATTCCCCGTTCCATTAATACAATATTATAATTACGTGCAACAGTTTTCATATGCGTGCTCGTGTGTGTAATACTATAGTAATACGTGATCTGCGTGCGTTTGTTTCATTCCAATATGATCGAAACGTAATTTCACTTCCTCTGCGTACACGGTGCGTGTACATCCGTGTGCACCGGATCGCCCCCAATAATAATCTAAAAGCAATAATTGCAATTCAAATGGTTAAAATACGTATAGGTATACATATTTACTGTACAGCAACGGGTCGTTATTACAATATTAACCGCCAGCACAAACACACACGCCTGAATTGCGATTTCGCGGCAAAACAGACGGCCGCGGGGCCGCTGCTACCATGCCACCTCACCAACAATATAATTACGAAATTTCGCGGGCGATTCACTACCGATATATCGAATAGACGGCTGGCGATATTAATCATCGCTGCAAAAAAAAATTAATAATAACTACGTTTTATAATAGCATAGAGCGATATACACACACACACACACACACACACACACACACACACACACACATATACACACTCATATTGTGTACCAGGATATACTCTCATAATTTCCCTGGACCGCAGTCTATTCGTGTTTGAAACGATTACAATAATCATTTAACCATAATAATAATAAGAATAATTTATTTAACGCACCGCAGGCAAGGTATATGAATAACAATAGTTTATTCCAGTTGTACAACATATAGGTATAGGTATATGGTGACAGGAAAGAAAACGAATGTACACAATACACATACGAGTATATGAGTATAAGTAGAGAATAGTGTTTTAGCGATTATGTTCGTAATTTACATGTTGATTTGGAAAAATGTTTCAATTTATGCTATAAGGATTGAAAATCGAAAATGTCTTTGGCTAACGAGACGTACATACAATCTAACTTAGGTTAGGCGTTTTTCGTTGTAAGCCTTAAATTTTGTTTTTAAAATTAAATAACAAGTGCCATCTGTTATGTGAAAATGTATTTAGTATTTTAACCTATTGCAGTAGAAATAGTATTATAATAACGAATTAATTAACAATAATATATTGTTGACGACGCTTTGATGATAAAATATCCGTACAAAAAAAAAAAAGTTTTTAAATAAATTATATGTCGTACTAAGGCATCCAAGTAAAATTTTTATGGTAAAAATAATTTAAAGCCTCGTGAAAAAATCTGTTCCGGATACCGTGCAAAACCTACCGCCGGCGCTGCACGTGTAAAGAGATAAGTAAGACAAAATATAAAGTATAGTTCACCATAATGTGTACATAGTGACGGACGTGTAGGGCACACTCTTTAAATTGTTTTTGTTCGTAAAAAAAAAAAAAACCTGTCCAATTGATCGAGAAAATAATTTTGAAAAACACGATCGAAACCGAGATCACTATTTCACGCATACATAATGCGTATTCTACGCAAATGAAGTGCTCGCCGTACAAGGATGTTGAGCTAGTAATAATAATAATAATTCAACGGGTTCGATCGAGGAAAATAAATTACGTACACCGCACGAAAGTGTACTGCTAGGAAAGTGTTCCGCGGAAATTTTAATAAATATTTATAATAATAATTCCCGCACGTACGTTCTGTACAACCACGACTTCCGTGCTGACCGTTCGCCACGCGCATTATTAATACGTTATTTTGATTTTTTTCCATAATTACTTTTACGATTTGCCGCCCCGTGACGAATAATCGCGCCGAGCAGGTTGTTGCTCGAGTTGAGCGCGTGCGCCCGTCGCGTCGCGTAGGCGGTTTCGAACGGGTGAAAGTGCGTTTGGACGGCGGCGACGGCGTTTGTCACGGCATACCGGAGACAGTTTTATATGCTAACAACAATAATAATAGATATTATACGTGTGCGCGCGCGTAGATATGCGGCATGACGTGACAAAGGCGTGCGGCAATGGTTTTTCGCAAACAATAATTGTCTTCGAACCGGGGATGGGAACCGAACCGAAATGAACCGGTTCTGTAACCGGAACCTTTTTAAATGGTAGGAACCGAAATCATTGTATTGATAAGTGGCCGAAACCGAACCGGAATTTTTAAACTATAATGGTTTTTTTTAGGTTCCGAAATAAAATGGTTTTATTTACCATAACTTATTGGTCATTACTATTTTCTTTAAAAATAATCAAAGATCCGTTCTCGTAATATTTATACCTCGGACCACACGAAACTCGCATTCCGGATACGTTCCTATTTAAAATTATTATACTTTTTAAGTGATTACTACATTAATATTTATCACCAAATAAGTCTTTCCCAGTTAAACATCGTAATTGGAATTAATATTATATTTCGTATAAATTATGAATCAATATTATATTATCTTCAGAATAAAGCAATGATAATAATAAAATAGACACATTTCCCGATAGTGTATTATTATGACAAACGATGCGTAAGAAAAACGGTCCAATCGAAAATAATATCTTAGTAACTGTAATTTTCGAGATTATTATAGTACCACTGTTTTTTTTTTCTATATTTCATATTACGCTGATTGGCAGTAGTATATTGTAAAATATTTTTTCGTTCACTATTATTGTTATAACACTCTTAAACGGGTGTTGTATAATATTAATTTAATATATTTACTATATAATAAATTATATTATATTTTACTGATAACAAAAACCGGTACCTTTATTTATTTATTTTTTTTAACAAAGAACAGGAACCGAAACGGAACAGTTATTTTATTTTCTAAGGACCGATACCGAAACCGATAATGATAGATGAAAACGGTCCCAGTCCTTGCTTCGAAGCTACACACACCTCAGAGCTTAAGGACGTTTAGATATTATATTATTAAACGATTTTAATAACATTTGTACGTATCGTTGTCAGAAAGACAATTATTGCATTGTTGGGGTAGCAAGCCGTGGACCATAGCATAAAACCCGTTGGTGTATAGGACTTCAGCCGAGTTCACGATACATCAAATCGCCTAACCAAGGCGATTGTAAGCCATACTGATTTTAATATGACCCTTAAAGTATAAGCTCTCTGTTAGTAAGCTCTCCCGGGTCTTCTGCATTACTATCAGAAGGGCGCATATATACACTCACGTGTCCGTATAACATAATTTATTGTTTGTGCATTACATAATAATAACCAGATACTAATAAAATAATAAAACCATTGGATTCTATTGAGTTTTCATTCATGTATATCAAAGGTGGGCAACTAGCGGCCTGTGAGCCTTTTTTATCTAGCCCGTGCTATATTTTCAAATTAAATTTAAAGTTTATCGTTTATCGATGTAATAAATGTTATCTGGTATTAAACTTTCTTAAACGTCTTAATGTCATATATAATATGTATAGGTATGTATAGTTTTCAACCTGTTTGTACCGAACTATTCAACTATATTAGTTTTTTCATATCATTCGTGTTGTGCTGTCGTGTATGCTGAATTTATTATTTTCGTGTATTTAAATGTTTATTAAAATAAATATTTTAAATGGCTTTTTTTTTTTGCTTTCTATACTCTGGCCCGCGAGATTAAAATGTTCTTAAAATTGGCCCTCTAGTAACTTTGAGTTGCTCATCGTTGATATATATAGATCTGTGGTAATAGAATTATTTGAAAATATTTATAATATTTATATAGTCTAGGTGTGGCCAATTCAGAGCGTGTGAATTTCCTTCAGGTAAACATAATGCGGACTCAGGAGATTTTATCGTCGACCCGATCCAAACTTTATCAATATTAGTTGACCTATTTCAAACTGATTTCA